TCTCCTTTTACTTTTCTGATTTGTATGGATTTCCTGCCGACTGGTTGCTGCCCTTCTGCACCTTTCTCTTTCCCCCCGTTCCCATTCTCGTTCTCTTCTCTAATGTTTATTTCATTTCGGTTCACCTCACCTCGTTCTTCGTCTCAGCTTGGGCCTAAAACATATGTAAAATTCATAAAGCGACGGGGCAAAACTTTTCCCTTTTTGGTGGGTGGTGGCGCAACCAGCCAGCCAGCTAGCCAGCTTCTCCCAGTCAAACATTTTAGCCTTGGCCAAGACAAACACAAACGGGCAAGAGTCTCAGTCTCCCTCTCCCTCTTTCTCTCCATCTTTCTCCTGCTCCATGTCCAAGTTCGGTTAACTGCTTGGAACGCGGACGAAGGCAGGGACGCACGCGGCCATTGCCAGAGTGAAAATGTCAGAGATAAGAGTTTGAGAAACGTGAAATAGATGGAGAGCGAGAGAGAGAGAGACGGCTAGATGGTGGCGATTGATGGACTCCACTTATGCCCTGTGCCTTGCCTATGGTCAACAATGTTTGACGAAATCCACAAACTGCGCCAAAAATGCCAATGGTAATGGAAATGGAAATTTAAAGTGCAAAAAAACAAACCGAAAAACCGAAGCTGAAAATCAAAAGATTCTCGAAAGAAGTTCACCAGGTCAAAGGTTCGATGAACGTTGAGGAACATGCAGCAAAAGTTGCCGTAGCTGAATATATTTCTGTGTATTTCTGTGTATTTTTCTTTTCAGGTTTTTTCTTGCACATTTGCTCTCAAGGCGTCTGAGAATAAATTCCTGGCAGGAAGTTGCTTTAAATGCCCCCAAAAAAAAAAACCCATGGAAAAAGAATTAAATTCTTGTAAAACACTTTTTAAATTTTGTAATTAGAACGGGTAGGGCAGGGGCAGGGGCAGGGGCAGGGACAGGGGCAATGCCAACCCCCCGGTGACCTTTTTGCTTGTGCGCTCTGTAAGTGTGGGCTAGCTAATATACCCCTTGGTTAACTGCTGCTGCTTCCACACCCTTCCACACCACACCCTTCGCTGCTCGCATGTCCCGCCCCCATCCTTGGAAGGCGGCTAGTGGTAGCAAGGAAACCCTTGTCCTTGTCGCTGTTATGCACAAATGTTTGTCTTTCTTTTGTTTGTCTTTAAATTAAGCTTCATTTCGGCAACTTTATGCGGCACGCCCACGCCCGCGCCCCCCACCAAACAAGAGCGGGCGAGCTTTACGTGCCTCGCTGCCACTTCATCTTTCGTGGCAGAGCGGGTCGACGGATGCTAGGAAAACGAATGGATGTTGCGTGTGGCAGGGGGCAGGGGGCAGCGGCAGTGGCAGTGGCAGGGGCGGTTCTGGTCTCGGACAGAAACGAGAAATTCATTTTTCAAGTTGGTGGACTGCTGGCTGGCTGGCTGGCTGGCTGGCTGCAGCACGTTGGAGACTTTTACTTGTTAACGGGGTCATAAATCATGCGTGAAAATATCGAACGGAAAACAGATTTCCCTCCAACAGCCTCCAGCAAACAATGAAGATGGGTTGGGACGGGTGTCCGAGCCCCAACCCACAAGCAGATGCCTCGACACTTTTGCGTAGATCTTTTTGGCCCATACAAATCCATGTCCGATGTCCGATGTCCACATTCTACCAAAAACGTATCTTAACCCTTTTTTTTTTTTTTTTTTCTTTGGGTTGTTGTTGGCATTTTATGTGTGGGTGGCTGTTTGCTAATAATCGATTTGTTTGTTTGCTTTTAATTTCTTTGGGACTGCTGCTGGTCGAACTTTGACTGCTCACGTAGGGACAACAGCTCCCACTCAATCTCAAGCTGCCATACCTATGCCCGATCCGAGTGCCATGCCGCCCATTCCCCAACACACGGAATCCTCTTGGCTGCTGGTCCTCTCTTGGCCCTCTCCTGGCCCTCTCTTGGCTAATGTGCAGCTGCTTCCGCTTTTTGGACCCATTCATCGTTTTTCTATTTGTCATCTTTGTTGTTGGTTCGTTCGCTTTCTGTTTTTTTCTTTTTTCTGTTTTTTTTTTTTTGTTTTTGGTTTTTGCTTTTTTTTTGTATGCGGAAAGGGTGGAGTAGCGTAAAGCTGATTTTATAACGATTTTCTTTTGCAAATCCCCTGGAACGATCCCCTGACCTCCTCACGTGGTTTTGTGCATTGCGTGGCTTTTAGCCTCTACCGCTCTCCCTCTCTCTCCCTCTCTCTCTCTCACTCTTTCACTCTCCATCTGTAGAGAATTCTGCCAGAGTACTCTTTGGCTCTTTCTATCCCATTTACCAGCTTCCAGTTTGTTTTGTTACTACCTGTGTTGAGTTTTTAATGAAAATCACATCAAATCGATATGCAGGACGGCCCCTAAGCCCACTCCCCCACTCACCGCACCCCCTTCCCAGACCCCTTGCCTTGTCACCATTGCGCTAAACTTGAAACGCTTCACAAAACGTAGCTTTGGGGGCATTGCTGGACCACGAACAGTGGCGCCAGGCAGAGGGGGGGATTGGATATAAAGTAATGACAATGAAAAGAACGATAATATTCATACAGAACTGCTGGGGATCTGTACAGGGGATTTAATCACTTAAATTAAAAAATAAAATTAAATTAAATAAAATAAAAACCGACTCGCCGCATTTCTTACATCCAAGCTTTTATTGCAGATGCATAAATAGATAGTTTCTCGATCTTAAATTCCCAACAATATCCCTGGCTTTAATCGCATTTTATGGCATTTTTTTATGCATAGCACGGACACCCCTGATCGTTGGGAATGCTTTCAGACCCTTCAATATGCACTGGAGTATTTTCAACAAAGTGGATTAGAATGGTCCTTATGACCATCACCGACCATCACAGGGCAGCAGTGAATGGAGGGGAAACCAGAGAGCGAGAGAGAGAGAGAGAGAGAGTGAGTGCTGACCAGGACGAGAGCGAGAACGAGAAGAGAACGAGAACGAGGACTATTCAAGCCACAGCCCATCGAGTGAGCGGGCAGTAAGGGACACAGAGACAGCAGTTAGATGAATGACCATCGATGACTAGATGGGGCCTGGAGCCCACAGTAAACTGCGGTTAAGGTGCAAAGAGGGCAGATAAAAGGTTGGTAGGGGATGATGGGGCCAACGGACAAACGGACAACAACGCACCAGCAAAAACAGATGGCGGCAAGAGAGAAACAAAGAAAGACAGAGACAGAGACAGAGAGAGAGAGAGATAGAGGGAAACAAGGGAGACAGAGGTAGACAGAGGTAGACAGAGGTAGAACATTAGGCCAATGCATTTCATATTTTGCTGTTGCACAGGCAAAACCACCGCAAAAGCTCAATGACCAAAGCAAAGCAAAACCAAAGTCCCTAACAAACCAACCAATGCCATTGCCATTGCAACCCCAGCATCACATTTCCTTCCCCTACTCCTACTCCTCCTACTCCTTTACCATCTTGTGTTTTTTGTGCACAGATTTTTATATGTAGTGCAACCAACCTGCACAAAATACCTTTTAGCCAGGCATTCAACTATTTTTTGAATACGATTTTTAATGCCTGTTCCAAAATGGAATATCAACTTTTGCTGGCCACCGGGTCCATGCACTATCCGGTTGGCTCGCTGCGTTCCTTTTGGAAGAAACTTCCAGAACTTCATTGCAGATTTTCATTGATTTACGTAATTAATTCCATTAAGTTTTAGGGAGGAGAATCATCCGCAATTTGATGCAAAAATAAAATATTTTATAATTCAAAAATAGAATTTAGATGCGAGTATTTCCCAACCATATTTACCATATTTATTGCTTCACCATGTGTATTGGATATTCATATTTTTAAAATTTAAAAAAATATCATAAAATCAGCGCTAGCTTCCACTCAAATCAATATTTATATCAATATTTAAATGGTTATTTTAAAGTAATCTATATTTATAATTTAGCTATAAATAAATATGAATATAAACGATGATTCTGCAAGGGTATTCAATGGGAAACCCTGGATGCCAGCTGGCAGGCAGCCCTCGTTCCCTTCTTGTATTATTTTTTGGTGTATTTTTTTTGTTCATTTTTGGGCAGCACCTCGATGACAAATTCTAATTGAGCTCCATGGAAATTGGTAAAGCAGTGGCAGTGCCACCCAGTGGGTGGCTGGGCTGGCTTTGAGCTTGGTGCTGCTCTGCCAAGGCGATTAGCCGCTGGAAACAAGGCAACACAAAAATGTTTGTTCAGTTACAGCCGAATGACAGTGGGGGCCGCTGCCTGCCGCTGCCTCCACGAGGAGTCTACCTACGAGTATCTGCTAACTCCTCACTCTCCCATCTCTCCCACTATCTCGCTCTTTAGTAGCTGTCAAAAATACTCATGCAGGGGGGGAGGGTAACAAAAACAAGCTTTGGCATACACACAGCAGCGGTCAGCAGCATAGCAACCACTCAAATAAAATACAGTTGATTGTATGAACTCTTTCTGTGCTTATTAGAAAAGTGTTTGCCGCATATACAAAAATTTATTTATTTATTATTATTTATTTAATTTAATTAATTTATTAATTTATTTAATTTATTTATTAATATTATATTATACTATATTATATTATATATTATATTATATTATATTATATTATATTATATTATATTATATTATATTATATTATATTATATTATATTATATTATATTATATTATATTATATTATATTATATTATATTATATTATATTATATTTTTTTATTTAAAATAATTATCAGTGCAAACATTTTTCGCTGGCCACTCAACACGCACGTTGCAGGCGTTGCACATGCAAATTATGTGCATGATGATGGCGATACTGTTGCAACCAGGTGCTGCCGCATGTTGCATGTTGCTGCAGCTGCGCATATAATCATCAGCACATGTCCGGCCGGAAGTGAGCCTGCCACTGACCCTGGCACCCCCCCTCCCGAAATTACAAAAAAAAACCAAAAAACAGAGGAACATCAGACACAACTGTCAAGTGGCAGTCAATCAGTTTGAATCAAATCTCGGTCATAGCCACAGCACTTTCCCCTACACTTAGGGAGCTCCACACACGAATATTTATTATTTTTTAATTCTAGAGGATTAAACAGTTGGATTAAATAGTTGCTAAATTTCCAATAGATAGAGACAGTTTCCAGTTAGTTGCGCAATCGAGAAAAATGTACAAGTGCACGCAGTGCGGACACCTGAAGGCGTCGCTCGGCTCCTCGCCGGCCTACAAGTGCCGACGCACAGCGACCGAGTCGGAGGAGGAGGTGGGCGTCTCGGATAGCTGCAGTGTCTGCCACTGCTTTGCCTTCTTTGCGCTGGTGCCGGAGCCGGAGCCGGAGCCGGAGTGGGCAACCCCACAGAAGCCGCCCAAGGGCCAAAAGGTAAGCGAAGCGAAGTGAAAATCTGCAGCTAAAGCTAAAGCCGATCCTCACACCCCACACAGCCGATCGGACACGTGAGGGGTTGGAGCGTAGATCGCACCGTTATTAAGCCCACAAGGCCAGTGCTGCTGTGCGAGTCCTGCCATGGGGACGGGAACGGGAACGGGAACGACCAGGAAGTACCGGCCAAGCAGCGCATCAGAATGCTGGAGAGATTCTCGCTAGCCGTGAAGGAGCTGGCAAAGACGAGCCACCAAGAGCAGCAGCAGCAGCAGCAGCAGCAGGTGGCAGCGCCACAGCAGCTCCCAAAGGCAACGGACTCCGATTCAAAGACTTTGGATGAACAGGAACATGTGCATGTGGATAAGGTGCTGGAGCTGGAGCTGAAGCTGGAGTCGCCCCGCCACGATAGTCGCGAAGTGCAGCGAAAATCTAGCGGCCACTCGCTGCACAAGTCGCGGGGGCTTCGCTCCATAAGAAGCGACTTCAAAATGGCCGAGAGCTTGCACAAGCACAAGACTGTGGCACGGCTGGCCAAGTCGAAGCTGCAGGTCAGCATTCAACTGAAGAAAGCCCAGATGGAGCTGGAGAAGCAGGAGAGGCACCAGCTGCGCGCACAGGCCCGCAAGGAGCGCAACAAGCGTCAGAGCGGAGGTGCAGGTGGAGGTGGAGGAAATCTCTACACCCCCACGGCGCCGTCGATGTGGCAGGGCGAGGAGCTGGAGCGACTCTTCGGTGTGTCGCCCCCCTGCCAGGACAAAGGCAATGCTCGAGCCGATGCGCTGCTCAGCTCGCTGGTGGAATGGCTGCAGGAGCAAGCCACCAAAAGCCAGGATCAGAACAGGCACAGAAAGGCACAGACACCGGACAGCTTGCAACTCTCGAAGGCGAGGCAACTGAAACAGCTGGTCGCCTCGGTGGTTCCCGTGAAGCGGTGCAGCTATCAGGGCATCCTTCAGGGCTCAGCCACGAGGAGCATTTGCCTGGTGAAGCGCACGGACTGCACGATGCCAACCAAGGTGGACACGCCGTCGCTGGCAACTCAGTTCCGCCCGGTGTCCTACACGGACGAGGAGCTGCTTGGCGTGCTGATGGACAAGTATCAAATGCTCGCGGACAGGCGCCCCATGGACCTGATCATGCGCTGTGAACCCATTCACTGCCCCGACGCCCGCTGCACCAGAATGTGCTTCCCGTCGGACCTTCACGTCCATCTGCTGTACGACCACCAGAGGCTGATCGTGGAGCAGGTGGGCGTGCGACAGACCAGGACCCTCTTTCTGGACCCGAAGGCCGCGCGACTCCATGCGGCCACACCCATCATGCTGTACCAGCTGAAGGACAAGATCACCGACTCAGGCGGGCCTCGGGCCAGGCTGGTGGCTGGCCTGCTGCCAGTGCTCCTCATGGCCGCCCGCACCCGCTACTCGAAAGTGTTTGGCCTCGACGCCGACAATGCGTCGCAGGAGGAGATGCTGATCGTGTGGCTGAGCAGCCACCGATCCACCAACATGCAGCTCCTGGCCACTCTCTCCGTGGCGTCAACGCGCGCCAATCTGGCTGACACCCTGACGGTGCTAACAGCCCAGCCCTACGATCTGCGCGAGCCCAAGGACATGGCCGCCCTCATCTGCAGTCCCTCCACGCTGGTTGTGCCGCACGGCCTGCTCCAGCAAATGACGCAGCGCGGCAAAGACCTGCTCGCCGTCCAAGTGCACTTCCACTAGGAAAAGGATTCATCTATGCCCATCCAATCCAATCCAATCTGCAATCAAATGAATTTGAGTTCAATTAAAACAAATTCTTAAAACGTTAAATTATATTTAATTGTAGGATTATCCACTGGTGGGTGGGATGGCAGGACGTTGCACTCATTTCCACATTTCATTCTTCTGGCTGCCACAAATTCCTCAGGTCCACTGTCTGGCAGTGGACCAGCAGATCGAGGCACCGCTCGAGTCCCCGTGGCTCGGCAAGGCTGAGGAATACACACACATACATACATATATTGAATTTTAAATAGAAAAATATATACTTAGTTTTAGTTATTGATTTATTTTTCTGTTTCATATAAATTTATTTCCCAATTATAATTAAAAATGCTAAAAAAAAAATGGTAAAAAGCCTCAACTTTGAGTCGCTATTTCTTTGGTTAAATCCATTCTATTACACCGAATCAACAATAATGTGAAAGGTAGCACGATTCTGTTGTCATACCCGTGCTGCAGGAGCTGAGTAAAAAAATTATGAAAGTTCAAACAGTCAGCGTATTGCGGCTTTTGAATTTTTAAAAAAGAGTTTTTGGGCGTATATTGCAAATTCTAAGCATGAGGAAGTGAGCTACTCATCTCGGTCTACAACCGAAGCCAAGGGGCAAGCGGTCAAGCCCTGCAGCGCACAGAAGAAATAATTGTGCATATTTTTGGTATCCTATTTTATTTCCGAGAGAGATGATGCTACGGACTGAAACGCATGCTCCTTGCCTACGGCTTGAATTCCTAAAAGAAAATCTTTTTTTGGGGCGTTGCTCAGGGGCGTATGACGGACGATCTGTGTCCGTGTCAGTGCCTTTCCTCTTCTTTAATCACTAATACTAACTTACCTTTCCCGTAATTAGTATAATTTCTTAGCTATCTTTGCATGCTTAGCTCTTTGAGTTGTGTTTAGCTCTAACTTTTCCTCGAATTTTAGTCTAGCACCTATCTTTCCTGCATGCTCGCGATCGGTTCGGTAACACGCGTCGCGCGTCTTGCGGCAGCGCACCTCGGTCGGCTGGGCGGGAGGACGGGGCTGTGTTTCTGCCTGGGCTCCGCGCGTAACAGGCTTCGGCTTGGTGTCGCATGGGCCACTTGATGGGGCAGGCATGGTGCATATCAACGTCCAGACAGTGTTCCGTGTCATTGGGTACTAATTAGACTCACGCATGAGCACTAGGATTCATTAGGATCCCCAAAACAGGGCGACGAGACCCTGAAACAAACCAATAAGGATAAACCTTACCACCCACACAACAGACAGTGCAGCCCCTGCCCTTGTCCCTGCCCAACCAGGCCAAAATTAATCCACAAAAAATTGTGTGCGTGTGTCTGGTCTCTGTCCCTCTGTCTGTCTCTCTGCCTGTCTGACTGTGTGTATCTCCATCTGTTCATCTGCAACTGTGTGGGTGTAAATACGTCAACAATTTTGTGCAAAGAAGGATTTCAATTTCCTTTAAGCGGAAGCGCGCTGTCAGTTTCGCATTTTGCGCCACAAATCATCAACTCTATCTGTCCCTGGCCCTGGCCCTGGCCCTGGCCCTGTGTCTCTGGCCCAGTCCCTGTCCTCTGTCCTGTCCCTGGCCCTGGGAGCCGAGAAGTTACTAGATGGATTGCAACAACAGTATGCAATGCGGCGTCGGTAGGAGACCAAAAGCAACACATCATCCATCCATCCATCTAACAATAAGCGTCCAGCAACAGCTCCTACTCCTGCTTCTACTCCTCCTACTCCTACCCCTACTCCTACTCCTACTCCTACTCTTACTCCAGCCCAAGCCAAAAGCCAAAGCCGTATCGTGCCGTGCCTGGCCTGGCCATCCATCCAGTCCGAGCCATCAGTCAGTGTGCGTTTGGGTGCGAGCAGCAGGCAGAGACGAGTCGTGCCTGGTCCTGTTTGCATTGGGCTTTGTCCAGGAGAGTGCACAGCGGCTGATGGCTGTGCTTGGGTAAATTTATAGCAAAATGTCATCAGTTGCCGCGTAAATATGTAAAATTGTTTGTAAATAGCAATTTCGTTTTTGGACGCTGACTACCGTCCCGTCCCGTGCTGTCCCGTCCTGTCCGTTGCCAATCGAGTTCAAACATCGAACATGTGTAGACGAGTAAACGTAATTTACCTTCAATTATGCGACAGGTGTGGAGGGGCAGCACAGCCCTGCATGGGCTGCGGAGTGGAAGGATCATAGATGGGAGATATCCATTGGGCTTATTTAATTGAATATCGAATTGGATATGGATGGATCACGCAAAGACATAGCAGAGGCAAACCTTTGCTTTCCTTTGCTTACATTTATTTATTAATTATTATTATTAGTTATTATATTATTTATTTTGATTATTATTAATTATTATTATTAATTATTATATGTATTATTTATTTTGATTATTATTTATTATTATTATTAATTAATATATTATTTATTATTATTATTAATTATTATACTATTTATTTTGATTGTTATTACTTATTACTATTTATTATTATTATTAATTATTATATTATTTATTATTGTTATATATAATTTATTATTTATTATTATTATTTATTTTTATTATTAATTATTTTTTTTGTAATAAATGGAATAATATTCGCATAAATATTTGTATGCGGATGACTCCATTGCCGGACTATTGCTAGCGCTTAGTTTTTGGGTTTTAGTCTTCCTTCTCCTTGGCCGGTGACTTTTTTGGCGAATTCTTCACTGTATCCAAGCAGTGTTTGCTCTCAATGCGAGCGGCAATCGGCGACGAGCTGCTGACGGTGGTGAGGCTGTGATTGCGTCTCAGTGGCAGGCCCATTTCGTCGTCAGAGTCACTGCACTCGAACGAAGACCCCGACAGCGAAACAATCTTCTTCTTCTGGTTGCTGCTGCTGCAGCTGCTGCTGCTGCCCATGGGCACACACTTGTCCGGCTCCTGCGGCTCTGAGCTCTGTTGCTGCTGCTGCTGCTGATTCTGCTGCTGCTGCTGCTCTTTAATTGGCAGAGACATTTTGATGGAGAGATATGAAGATATGTAGGGAGAAAGAGTTACCTGGAAAATTTTACAGAGTTTTTATGCCCAAACAAATAATTTTTAGTTGAAGCAGCAGGCAGCGAGAAGCAGCAGATTGACAGTTTTTCCAACGAATGCTGGTCGAACCTTCAAAACAGATGACAGGCTATGACAGATTGGTGGGTGTTTGGCTGGATGGGGGTGGGTAGTGGCAAATCGATTATGCATGCGGCAGACCAAGGAAGAACAACCTCGGGCCTCAGCAGACACCCAGGCACACAGACACCACCCACCGTCAACAGAGTACTACTAGTTCGCCCTGGAGCCTCAGACCAGACTAGATCAGAACAGGAGTCCGAGAGCTGGGCTGGGCTGGGCTGGCTCAGCAAGCTTAATGGCTGCCAGTGCGTTAATTGATTGTGGGATGCACTGATTGGTATGGCTTTGGTATGGATTGCCACCAGTACTCGCAATATGCGAGAAGCATCCTCTTTAATGCAGAAGAATTCTAGATTGCAGAGCGCCAAAGAAATAGGGATATTGTAAAGAACTCCTAAGAGAGGCAGCAATGGGATGACGATAATAAATAGATAAAATATATATTGAGTACAATAAGCTGCGACTTGCTGCGCTCCCTGGAAGCGAAATACAAACCAAAATACAAGAGCAGAACTGGCTGCCATGTCACGACGATCATTTAAGTGGAGGCGGACAGTGACCCCCTTGGGAAGCGGCAGGAGAAAGGAATATGCAAGAGGCTGTAAAATTTAAGGAACTTGGAGATGTGCAATGGCTTTAAATGTTTGCATGCTCCCTGGTTTTGGGGCGGGGGTGCCTGGATTTAATTTCACTAGCATGCAGCTGGCTTCAGCTTGTTTACACAAAAAAACCTGTAATTTAATTAATTACCCTTTATTCTGGTTGCAATTTATTTGATTTATTTGTAGATATTTATAGATTATTTATTTATTAATTTGTGGATTGTGCTCGCTAAGGTTTCGATTAAGACATCTGACTTTAGTTTGCGCTACTTTCGCTAGTATTATGTATGCAAATATGTATGTCTGTATTTATCATTCTCTGTTCCAGTTTCACTTTTGTAATGACAGCCCAATTGTCCTTTAGAGGTGCGTAAAATATTTTGACATTATCTTTTGGCCACATCCAACCCGGAACCATTTCGCTTTTTATTCAGAACAAAATCTCTTGTGTTTTTTTTTTTTTTTTGTAACGAAAGGCGGCAATGAGCAGCACAAAAATGGGCATTGACTGTCCGTCCGTCCGTCCGGTTTGGTTCGGTTTGGTTTGGTTTGGTTCGATGCAATCGCTGCAATTTAAACGGGTAAAGTTTTTGGTACGCTTCGTTTTGGTTTGGCTTCATTCTCTTTCTCTTTCTGGTCCTGTTTCTGTTTCTGGTCGTTTTTTGTTTTTGGCCTACATAGGAGCAAGGATATGAAACGGGAGCGGGATGTGCTGCCATGGCTGCTCCTGCTGCTGCTCCCGCTCCCGCTCCCGCTCTCTCTCTCTCTCTCTCTTTCATTGCATCTATTCCCGTGCTCTGTCTCTGGCCATCTGCAATATGGTGGGCACCGTCTCTGTCTATCCGCATCTGTGTATCTCTCGGTCCCTGTCTCACCGCAGTCGAACTTTTTTAATACGCAACACGAGTGACCCGCTTGCGGACAATTGGAATTGTAACTTTTGATTAAATTCGTTGCAATGGCAACCGGGGGTAGAAATCGGGTAGAAAGTGGACAGGGGGGAGGGAACAGGAGAACTCCGAAAGGAGAAAACTGGGAAGCTGCAAACGGTTGTTCATCGTCATCGTCGTCGTCGTCGTCGACGTCGTTCTTCTCGTCAAGGATGAAGGATGAACTTTTTGCGCTGGGCTTTCAATTGCATTTGATTACCTTGTTGCGTGGCCAGACACTCGGCCAGTCGATGTCTACTTGAATGCTTGTTGCTCAGCCAGGACTCCCTCTACATGCATTCAATATACTACTCGTAGTAGTACTGCTTCTCAGTCCCCCGTCTCCAGTACCCAATACCCAGTTCCATTCGCAGTCGCA